CGTAGGAAACGGCAGAGGATTTCACATCATCACTTGCATGGACGTGCCAAATTCGATGCAACATTTTCACCAAAAGCGAAAAAACTGTTTGATATGCACGTGACACAATGATTTGAAGATTGAACAAGTGGCTTTATTAAACCTCTGAGAGACAGATAAAGCAACTAACTGCTTTTACAAATGCATTTTTAAAGGAATTATTCATATTGGGAATACCAGAATAAAATTCTGTGTTCCTTATTATTCTTTCCTGAAAATGCCTCCTAAATTGAACATTTTCTCTGAGGTGAATCTAAACCTTTGCAGTTATGCTCAGCTTTATGCAAACTATGTTTCTTATGTTTGTTGTAAATAACTTTGTACTTTGCTTTTGCAGAATACTGTGAACATATTAAAATTGCAAAGAGCATATGCAGTAAAAGTGTCAAGCAACATCCTCAAAATGATACTCAATTACTTCACTCGTAACAGTAGACTGTAAATAGTGTGTAATGCTGTGTTGAGCATTTTCAGTTACATTTGACAGGATCTCACTTTTTTTTTGCATTAAAACACTTCCATAGAGAATTGTCATAATAATAATATATATAAAAAAACATGACAAAACAATTTGACTATGTTGCTCACAAATAAGGTCTCAGGACTCTTCATATAGATGACAGAAACTTCCATAGGTATAAAAACTTGCTTTGGAGGATTGAACTATTTTGATTAAATGACATGCTTTGACAGCTCAGTTTTGCAAGTTGCACTAATTGTTTAGAGAAATCCACCAGCTCTTGTGCAAATGTTAATAGTGACGTGAGAAATGTACCAAGGCACCTGAGGGAAGCTATAATTTCACCCTCTGATGGAGAGTATTATTCTCTGTGCTAACGCGGTCATTTAAGGGTCAAACAAATCGGAGGTTCTGTAGTCAGATGGTAAGCTGACAAAAGGCCCAGAAAACGTATGTATGCATATGTCTAAATAAAGGAATAACTTAGCTCACTTCCTCTGAAAACAAAACCCTTGTGGGTGCAAGTATCCCACATCATGTAGATTATATGTTCGTTTTCCTTCCTGAATGATTTTGCTTTATTTCCAGCTTTCATGGCCTAACTATGGGCTGTTCAGGTGATTTCTATGGTGCAAAATATCACTTTAAATTGCACGGCTAATAATACTGAAGATAGTCATTTGATTCCATAAGTGCAGTCAGCCCATGGGGTTGGCGTACCATGGGAACAAAGTAACGCACCCCAGGATTCCAGCTCTCAAGAGCAAGTCGGCATTTCGGTGTGACGCACAAGCACAGCTGTAATCCACCACAGCTGACTTCTTGCCTTTCAGAGAAAGACCCACATAAGAAGGAGGTCCATTTCTAAATGCACACCGGCACTTTAGTTCTTCTAATCCCTAGGGAAAAGTACAAGGAAATCAAAAGATGTGTGGGCAAAAGAGAATATGCCGGTGTGAGTATGTATGGATTACTTTGTAAGGTCAGCAAGAGACCACTTATTTTCCTCTGCAAGTTTGCACCTGAGTATTCTCTCACAAGATTATGTGATTGCCTTGTTTTTTTTTTTTTTTCGTTACACTTTGACAGTTGAGCTTCGTCTAAAACCTGCTGAGCTGGAGATGATAACTCTCAAGTTCGTGCTGCTTCGTTCTCCGATTATGCACAGTTTTGAAAAAAAGAAAGAAAAATGTACCAGCAGCTTAGGTATTGCCAGAAATTTTTAGTAAGGAGCTAACATTTTATTATTATTTTTTTTATTGAGTGATGAATGCTCCTTTCAGACAGTTTCACAAATGCTCATGAGAAAACTGATGTTACTCAGATTGAAATAACGCATTTGGTCAGGTGAAATCTTCACCCACAGTAAGTTTGCTTGACTAACTCACAGAGCAGTCAGAATGCAGCAAAAATATAAAATACTGAAACAGCTGAATGTCATCCTTGATTTTGAGACATTTTGATTATTTTTATGAAAGCAATGAAAGTCAAAAATTCAAATCTCCAGAGGTTTCACAGCATCCAACTAGTTTGCAATCTCACACTTCCCATTCTGATAGATAGACATGGTTTGAACTTCCTCTTTACTCCCACTCTGGATTCACATCACGTCCTTTCAAATTATTAGGGATTTGTAGCTGTAGTTAAGGTATTACTTGAGTTGTTGTGACATTAACCATTTGCTCCCAGTTGTAAACCACCTTGTTGTTATTGGTTATGCATCTTTAAAAAAAACAAAGAACACCCAAAAGTAAAAAATAAATAATCAAACATCCAAAAGAAAAGAAAATAGTCATCCAAAAAACAAATAAACAAAATCCTTGACAAATAGTTCAACATTTTTACTTGTAGGACAGGGCATGTCACTGGGTAGATATGAAGTGAATGAGGAGCAGGTGGTACTTTACCCTGAATAGACATGCATGTGGTGCATATACATTGCAGCACAGCAGGTTGCCAGGTTGCAGAGATGCTAACTGACAGGTTAACCCAATGTTTCTCAACCCTGGTCCTCAGCGCCCCCAGGTCTTGCATGTTTTAGGTGTTTCCCTTCTGCCATACACCTGAATTGTATCTCTGGGTGATTAACAGGCTTCTGCAGCACTTGAAGGTCATGCAATCATTTGAATCAGCTGTTCTGGAATAGAGGCACATCTAAAACATGCAGAGCAGGGGGCCGTTGAGGACCAGGGTTGAGAAACACTGGGTTAATCCGCCTCTCTATTACATTAAACAACGACATAGTAAGACATCTTTGGCTTTCTGCTTACTTTTTTCTACAATGTATGGTCTGCAGATAAGATGCAACTTTTTTTTTTTTTTTTTTTTAGCATACATTGGTTTTGTTGCAATTAATCTTGTTTTTCCCCCCAGCCTGATGTTTTTTAGGATCTAATGTTGCATTGCTAAAAACGGTTTCAGTCTTGTTGTTTTCCACCAGGGTGCTAATTAAAATTGGAATTCATGTTGTTTGGGTGTTGAATTGGGAATTGTGTGCATCTGTTTCTGTAATGAGGCTTGGGGATGTCATCAGCTTTGGGATTCAGATTTTGATGTAAACGAACACAGAGCCTGTATGAATTTGCTTATAATTACTGTGACTACAATTGAATTAACGCTGGGACTGAAATAAGCAAAATAGCTTGAAAAGTGCAAATTTCTTCTATATTTACTGACAGTAATTTCCACATTTATTGCAGATCTGGTAAAACCCAAAACTGTAATTTGAGTTCTCAGGACTTTTGGTATTTTAAGTTTGGTTTTTAGTCTTTTTCTGAAGTTTTAGATTGACTAAATTCTCTTGTGATCTACTTAAAAACAACAAGGAAGCTTCTTTGCTTCCTACTTTCAGAAACGACTCTTTAATATAGTTTGCCACATGCATGTTCTCCTTATTTATGAGGACGAGAACAGTTCAGGGCTGCAGACATAAATTCAAATGCGACCACCGTCGATTTCCTCCTGCTTTTTAATACCTCTTTGTATTTTCAGCCACTCTGTTCTTTTGCTGGCTGACTGTGACGGTCTGCACCTCATGACACCAAAGAAGTAAAAACGAGAGGCGACAAAGCAGAAAAGCTGCAGAATTCTCTCCAACATTAGGTCGCTGATTGCCATCATCATTAGCAGCCTGTGCAGAGTTTCGCATTGACGACTTGTGGTGGGGAAATAAATTAGCACCAAATGTTCAAACAGTCTCCAAAGTTATGCAAACAAAGTCAGAGGAAAATGGTGTGTGTCATGTGAAAACAAAACGTACGAGGTGAAGCACCATTTGTAATCAGACTGATCTGCTCTCTGATTGACCTCATAAAAATGAGCAGAGCTGCTAAAAGTCATCATGTAAATCTCCTTTCTGCTTATGCCTCACAGCAACATCGTGGCTGAATAAAAAAACAAACAAACAAAAAGCACAAGAAGTGATTAAAGAGAGCAACGAGAGCGGGGTCAGACAATATTGAAGATGAAGCAGGCAAATCTAAGTTTGAGCCAACTCCTAATTTTAGAAATGATTCTGGACCCTGTTAATTCGTTTTTTCCCCTCATTACTCAACATCACAAGTTGTTTCTCTCTCGGTAATGATGTGCCGCCTTTCGAAGGATGGAAATAGAACAGAAGAGAATTACACTTTCATCATCTTAAATGATTGCTGTTTTATGCACCTGAAAATAACACCTATATTTAGGGAGCGTCATGTTCGCCTCGAGCTTTAATGCTGCTGGAGTTCAACATCTTACAGCGGCATTTTTTTTTTTGTGTTACTTGAGCATGAAGTTGTGCTTTTAGGGATTAGTTCTTGTGTTTTTTTTGTCTATGTGGATATCACATTGCATGGATTATCTCTAGGTTATCTGGCTTTCTTCTCTTGTAGTTGCAGATGCATATTGGGTTAATTAGTCTTTGGAAAGCTACATGGCTTTTCCTTTGGTTGTTACCACTGTCTTTGGTGAAGGAATGTCCCATTTCTCAACAAAATATTGCTATTGAATGGGGAGATAGGGTCAGGGGTAACTCTAAGAAATGGGCTTCAGTCATGTGAGACCAATTAATGCACATGTTTTTATGTGCTTCACAATCCTCTCTTGTTTATGGTTATCTCTGTTGCTTGTGCAATTCTTTGGCACTTTTTCCTTTTACTAAGCTTTTTTTGAAGTTTCTTGGACAGCGCACTCTGCTAACATTCAAATTCTTTAGCAATAACATTTTGTGTCTTACCCTCCTTGTAGAAGGAGTCAGTGAGTATCAACATTCATCTGAATGATTTTTCTTGGCCACAACACAAGATTTCAACATTAAAAATGCTGAGTTGCAGCGTTATTTACCATCCTGTTTTCAGTACTTTGATTTTTGTGTTTTCATTGGGATGCAGGTTGAACTTTTTGATTTAAGTTAAATGAACTAGCCATTCTAAATTATTAGTCAGTTTGACTCTAAAACACAGGTATTTTTTTCTCTTAAAAAGGTTTAAAGATGAAGATATAGCAAAAGAGAAAAGGTTTATATTATTTGATATATATGTTTTTTATTAGAAATAATTCACATTCATTTTTGTGCTGTGAAAACTGTACACTGACACAGTTTAAATCTTGACAAGAAAATACTCAATACAGGTAACTGAAATTGGGTTTTAGGCAGGACAAGAAAATTGAGAAAAAAAAAAACAAAACAAAAAAAAAAACAACAATTCAAAACAAAAAAAGACATTAGGAATTGGCTGGTAGAACATACAGTCGAGTTATAGTAACACACTGTTACAGAAGACATGAGGTTCTATTACCCACTGCTTTACAGCTGAGAGCAATAACAAATATCCTGAAGAACAGTTAGGAGATAATCAGAGGCTCATTCACTCTATATTACCTTTTTTTTTAAATATAGAAGTATAATCAACTTTCACAGAGAACTCCAAATATGGAGTCTTGTGCAAACAAATCTCTAGTGAATAAATTCCTAATACAATATTCTCATAAAGCATCTATGTGCTCTGTAAATATATATGGAAGATGGTATAAAAGTTTCGAAATATTGGTAGGAAAAAACTCTGCCTAGATCAATAATATCAGTCATTGCTTGAGCATCAAGCGCCCATCATATTGCACTGTTACACACTGATGGCTGAAAACACAAAATGTGTTGAAGTCTCTGCTCAGTCCAAGAGTCCTGCAAGGCTGAGAAACAAAAAAGGGCGATGATGAGAAGGCTTTTTAAAATCCGCATGTACGACATGGAAGAGCCTGCGTCTTTGTGCCAGTTATTCATCCAGCAATCCCCAAGAGAAGCACTGCTCTTTCCGCGTGAGAGTCTGTGTTCATTCCCGTGCTGGTGTTTTGGTATCGAAGCGGAATACTGTGGAAACCAGGAAATTCAACCAACCAGCGCCTCCATCACCACTCAGTATGTTTTTCCCGATGCAGTCCATATGGGCTCACAACACATTATGGATGCACTAAATCCAGTTGTTTTTTTGTTTTTTTTTGTATTGTCGGTAACAGAAAACAATAGTAATGACGAAAAGGGGAGATAAATCAAAAATATAGACATCGCACTGGATATAATCAATAATAGTAATGACGAACACAGTGACTAGCACAACCAGTTTGACAGAAATGTTTCAGTCTCAGCAAAGAGTCTCATTTTCTGCTCGAAATTGTTGGATTCGGGTGCTAACAAACTCAATATGAGGAGAAAAAGCCCACTGCACAAAAACAAACAAAAAAAAGTGTGCGCCCATCTATCAAAGTGCACAGTATTGGAGTTTTGAGTTAGGAAGAGAGTCCCGGCTGCGCCTCCCGAGAAGCAGGGAGGACACGCGCCGCTTTTGAAATTTTCAATGTTACTTAGTTTTTTTCTCCAAAGTCGATTTGAAGGAAAAAAAAGGAGAAGCACAGACATGTCGAGCACATCTTCTGAAAACCCCAGGCTGCGGGGGTCCAGGAAAACTCCCTGGAGGGGGGAAGCGTCTATGGAGCCACAGACAGTCCAGTCGGTGGACGCCACTGACTGCTCCGCCAACCCCTTCTTTGAGCTTTAGGAGCTCTGATGAGAGTCCGCACTGAGAAGCTACATTAAACATCCCCATTGCCATCAGCCCCCACTCTCATCCACCACTCTTCCTGCCCTTCCCACGCTGGCTGAGGGTTTGAAGACAATGATTCTGGGACCGGTTTCCTCCCTTTTTTGGCTGCACTACCTTCATCCACTTAAGGATGCCACTCCCAAAACCAAAAAAGGAGACTGAGGTGAAACAAGGCGGCTTCGCTTGGCCCCCCTACTCCCCCTCAGACCTCTGTTTGCAGGTCAATAATGTCCTGCCCCACCAGTGGGATGGTGGTGCTCGTCTTCTCCCACTCCACAGAGTGAAGCTCCAGAGGCGAGGCGGCGAGAGGCTCCATGTCTTTGCGTACCCACGCGGGGGGCGACTGAGGAATTCCCCGGACTCCTTCCCACGACCTCTCCATGGGAGCCTGCTGTTTGTCCTGTCGGAGCAGAAAGAGAGGAACGTTTAGGACTGGTGTCGCTTCGTCAAGCTGGAGCAAATCCGTTATGTTACTTTAAAAAAAGTGAAATGAGCTTCTGATGATGGGGATCGGAGAAATAACTCCCGCTTTGAGGCATTGAACTATCTGAAGGTGTGTCTCATCTACGGGGAAGACATTTAGGGAATGTGAGGTTGTATATAAACACTCACGCTGTGGTTTGTTTTGTCACTTCCTCCAGAAGACACACTCCATCTCACAGACTGAAAGAAGGAAGAAAATACATCCTTATTCAAATGACCTCTCGGTACCAACAACATTAGTTCAATGCACTATGTTGCTCTTTATTCATCAGGTCATTTTTCTTTCTTAATATCTTCTTTTTTTCTGGGATTATTGCCTCTTTTGTTCAGTATTTGTTCATTATTTCCTGCAAATGACAGTGGAAGCAGATGGAGACAGTATTCTGATGAGGTCTCACCTTGCTGTCAGACGGAGGAGACTCTCTGTCTTTCTCGGTGTGATGCAGCTTCCTGTTCAGGTCCTGGAACATGTTCTGGTGGCGCTTCTTGGTGTGCATGATTTTCTAGAGAAGACAGAGAGCAATATGCAAAACATTAGCACCTCCAGAAATGTGAGTTGTGTGAATTCTGAGGAGGAAATTATTAATTAGCAAGTTCTACTACAATAATAACAATAAAAGGTATATTTACCTCAAAGTCCAGCTCAGCATAACGGGATTTCTGTCGCTGTAGATCAATAACGGAGAGAGAGAGAAAAAAATGGAGTTTAGACTTTGAAACACGTTGGTAATGTTTTAGAAAATGCATAAATGCAGCAGGTTTTTCCTCTTCCTACCTCCAGGGAGCTCATGGACAGAGTGGAAATGGTCTCGCTCTTCGACATCATCGAGTTCATGGACTCGAAGGTGTTCTCCAGGCTGCTGTGGGTGATGTGCGACTCGCTGGACATGTTGTGGATGTTCTGGATGGGCGAGTCCCTCTCCGAGTAGGACACGCTGACCTGGTCGGGCGGGATCGAGCTCATCCCGAAGGCGGCCTGGGGCTCGGCGAAGGGTCCGCCGAGGTGCATGAGCCTGGCCTGTGGCAGCTGGTCCACGCTGATGTTGTACTTTGTGGCGTCGTCTTTGGGCTTGGACCTCAAGGTGGATGTAGTGTTGGGCATTAGGACGTAGCCGCTGCCGTCGGACATGCTGCCCTCAGCCTGAGCCAGAGCAAGGTCCGCGTCCAGCTGCTTGAAGAGCTCCCCCTCGCAGACGTAGACGGGGTTCCCGCAGGACGGGTCGACTCCACCGGCCAAGCGGCTTTTCTCTCTCTTCAGGGTGAGCGTGTGGCTGGAGTACTCGGGAACAGCCTGCATGTGGCTGCCCTTGGACGGCAGGGTGTGGAAGTTGGAGCCCATGGGAAGTGGCATCTGAGGGGGAGGCATCTTTTCTTCAGAAGAGCTCTTCATTCCTTTAAGGAAAAACAATAAGAGTTAAAAAAAACCTTGAAAAATTCCTTGAACCGATACGTTTCAAGCCGAGACGTTTTGGGCGCTGGGCTTACCTTGTCTGTTTGAGTCCCCATCCTTTTCGTTATCAGACTGCTGATAAAAGAACAAAAATCCTATTAGTGCTTAATGCATGCATATTTTCATTTAGGAATAAATTCAAAAAGCACTCAAGACATTAAAAAGGCAATCGGCCAAGATATTCACCATGTGCTGAGGATGGCCGTTGTGATGAGAACTGCCAGAGTCTCCATTCCCATCGTCTTTGCGGTCAACTACTCTGCACTTCACAGCCTCCTGAACCTAATGGAAACACAGACAATTGTTAACAATATTCCAGCTCATTTAACATGATAAAAAAAAACAATAAAATTAACTTTCATTTTTATCTTTATTCCCTTCAATTCATTTGGTTTTATTGCCTTCTTACCTCTCTACGCAGGATGCAGTGGACCATGACGATGATGAAACCCTCCAAAGAGTCGAAAACGGCAAAGAGGATCTGGAAAAGGGCGGAGCGACGGTCGGTGATGGCCAGGACGGCAGACATCCAGGTGAGGGCGAGGAGGGGGAGAACCACGCAAGAGCTCCACAGTGAGGCCCTGGAGGATGAAGAAAAAGACAAAAACAACCCATCAGATTAGTTGTTGAGTCTCATTCCCAGACTGCTGAGTGTAGAAACGGCACGAATGGTGAAGACCGAAAAGACCTACCCAGCTCTCTCCTTCAGTTTCACGTCGGTGATGCCGTCCTTGGAAACGAGCTTGTTAAAGACCAGAATACCAATGACCATATTCACCTGTTTGAATAAAATAAAAAGCAAAATGTGTTAATGAAACTGTTCAACGATAGAAAACACATTAAAACTTGGAAATTGAAGTCTTTGACACGCACCAAAACAACAGCAGCGGCGGGACCAACAAAAGAGTAGAGAAGTCCACCCTCAAGAGACAACCAGCAGCTATGAGAGAGAAGGATTGATGATGTTAATTATTGTTTAATCAAATGATGAACAGAAGAAGAAAACTACGAAGCGAGAATAGGAACTTACTAGCTGACGGTGCCATATCCCTTAGCTTTAGTGAAACCCACGGACACGGCAACTACCAGAGCAGGAAGTCCTGCAATGCCAAACAAGAAAAGGCATTACAATTACTGCCATTAGGATGAAGGCTGTAACAGAAAACGTTACGCAAAGGTGATGAGAAATGAGACGCAATAAGAGACTTGTCCTCGTACCCCAGCCTAAGCACAGGAAGCGCTTGCGGATGATGCGGTTGCGCAGACGACCAGTGACAGCCATGTAGGACTGCCAAGCTTCTGTCAGGACCCAGCAGAAGGAGGAGAGGAAAAAGAAGTGGAGCAGGGCAGCAACAAGAGTGCACATCACCTGCAGGGGACCGAGATGAAGCAGAGAGAGAGAGAAGTAACGTTAGAAACCTGTTTCCAAGAGATAATCTAGATTCTGTGGCTTAGATTTGGATTGCGGCTTACCTTGTTGCGAGCCTGTGTTTGTCCGACGAGAATGAGGGCGTTGGAGCAGATAATGGAGAGGCAGAAGTTGATGAGGATAACAGAGCGCTCTGAGCGAATGTACCTGCAAATGAAAAATAAATATATATATGAAAATGGTTTAGGGGTTGGATGATAAATCACTGCGTATCATGTAACATCAGAGGTCGATGTGCTCGAAGGCGTGCTTACTTCCAAACCGAGACGTAGATGATGATGAGGAGCAGCAAGGTGAGGGAAGAGACCCCACAGCCGACGATGAGGGTAACGGACGGGAGGTTTGCTCTGTCCATGTTCTGTAGAGGGAAGAAGAACAGGAAAAAAAAAAAAAAAAACCTCTTAGCGATGATTACAAACCCGCATAGGCAGTCATGCACCAGGCACACCAACTACACTCACACACACAAACACTGGAGTGAATAGGAAGCCTCTGGAAGAGCGCTATCTAGAAGAGCAGACAGCTCCCTGAAGGCAAACAGCTGAATGGCACAATCAGGCCACGGCTCAGGCAAGGTGACCCCAAGGTGAACGTGTCAGAAAGATGGAAGGCCGAACTAACAAACGGTCGGCTTTGGAGGGCGTGAGAAGATGCTGTTTGGCATGTCCTCAATGGACATATTTTGATGTCAACCTGCTTCTCTTCTACCTGCTGGGGAACAGGTGGACCATTATCCCCTGTGCATTAATCCGCCACCAGCCCCCCCCCCCCTTCTCCCCCTGTGATCTCTGACAGCAACTTAGCGCCCGCTCCTGCTGCCAGCGGCGCTGACCGCTCTGTGCTTCGACATGGCTCCTGGCGCCGAGCTTAGTTTGGATTAGACAGAGGCAGGGGTTGTTTTACTGCATCGCTGCGCGTGCCAGCGGGTCACTCCTGGACGCACAAATCTCAGCTCCACAAAGCCCTCTCGGCGACTAATTGCTGGTTACCCGAGCTCGTGCGGCTCGCACTTACTCTGCGGGCTTTTAATGAGGCTTTGAGCTACTCTCACACCTCTGATACAGTTGTCATCACCTCAACGTGTGAGCAGGATGAGAAATATTCAGACTCCATCCTTGGTGTAATTATAGCACTATAACAGGGCGAAAAGATGGAAAACCGGTGATGTGTCCTTAAAAAGAGAATAATGAAATATACTAGAAAAGAGAAGATAGGGAATAAACTAGCAGGGTTTTTTTTTTAGCTTGTTTAAAATGCAGCAGTCAGTTGGCAAAAGACCAGAATTGAATAATTTATTCTTTTTCATTGGTTCTGGAGTCAAAATTTTTCATATCTATTAAATGCATCAAATCTAAGAACCATTTATGGTTGTTTATCCATCATAACAAAAACAGCGATAATCTACTTTTTTCCTTTTTTTGCTGAAAACTTCGATTCTATCGTTGGAAACGCAACAAAAATTTGTTTCTATTTTTTGTGTTATGGTCCTTAGGAAGAAAATCATAACTGGCAAGTTAAACCTTCAAAAAAAAAAAAAAAAAAAAACACAAATACTGGCCACAAAAAGTCTGGTTGGAGCATCTGGGCTCATGAGCACGATGTGAAGATGCTTCCCGAATATCAAAGCGCAGATGGGGAATTTTGCCTGTGGCAGAATGAGACTTAATTTAGTGTGGTAAATTTGTTTCAAACTCTACATGAGCAGCATCCCCAACCAGATGGCAGTTAGCAGAGGGGCAAGTTGTCGCACCGCCTGGGTTTGCAGGGAATCTGGGGTGTAATACAGTTGATACTGTTTCCTTTCTTTATGTATCTGGGTCGAATCTTGCTCCCTTGGCTAAGTGAGCTCCAGACAGCTAGTTGGACCTAGATATGAAGCACGTCCTTGACCGGATCGTGTGCTCCCATTTTGAATAGTGTGTTAAGTGAGCGCCCCCCCCCCCCCCCCCAACCTCCCTCATGCTTTAAAATTATATATCAGGAGCAGTCATGGGTACCTGCTCTTATAAGAATATTGGGATGCTTCTATGGGACCATTATGTTTCAGGTACATCAAATGAGAGCTAACTAACACTCTGCAACATCTGGTTGTTTCCCCCCCCACCCCCTCCCCTCTTTCCTGTTTCTGCCACTCAAATCTCACTGGTGTTCTTCATGGAAGACACTGTTATTGAAAATGTCCACAGTGCACATCAAAGGATAGATGAAGAAGAGGCAGGCAATGGTGGGGGGAAGGGGGGGGGGATAAGAAGAAGAAGAAAAAGAAAGGAGTGCATTGCCATCAGTGCATGACCAGACGTCTGTTTCTCATTGGTCTGCCTCTCTGGCATTTTAAATCTTGGCTGCTGCGTCCAAAGAAGAAGAAGGAGAAGTCGAAGCAGGAGAAGGAGGAGGGTGGGGTGCATGTAATTGAGAATTCAGAGATATTGGCAGAGGGAATGATTGCCTCAGTTGCCTTTTTTTCTTTTTCTTTTCTACTGTGATGAGAGGAAGAGGGAGGGGGGGAGGGAGGTGTTCAGATTGGCAACAGCAAGTCAAGTCAAATCTGGGATGCACGCAAGTTGGAGCATAAAAAAAAACACGAAGGCTTTAGGAGTTAAAAGACTGCGGTGCAATGTTATGTGTTGAGCTGCAAATTAATGAGGAAATCAAGGTAACGATACTTGTTGAGAAGATTTCAGCTGAGTATTTTTCCTCTGCTCGGCGGTTTTCATGCCTCAAGATGACAGCGGGTAGAGGCTGCACAGTCTATATCGTTTTTGCGCATGGCATGCAGTCATGCAATATGGCCAAAATTACAGCAATTATTAGCAACTGCCCGTTTTCTTTTTCTTTTTGCAATTTTAAAGTGACTTCTCGCTTCTGCGTGTCTTGTTACTGTACGCATAACGTTATCATTCTTCTGCAAACATGAACCTTTTTCGTAGAAAATATAACGGCAACATGCTGCTCGATTGTGTGTTTTTTTTCTTTTTCTTTTCAGTAGTTAAAACACAAGCAGGTTCTCCGATCCGCGGCACCTGCGCGGAGACAAAGGAGCGCTGCTGCAAAGCCCCTCACTGGAAAACAACAAGTCCCTACCAGCTCACCCGCTGCTCCGCATTCACACCGCAGAAGACATTTAGCATGCACATCGTGTCAAGGCAAAGAAAAAAAAAAGAAGAAGAAGAAGAAAAAAAGCTCTTACAGGGAACAGACAGGAGACTTACCGAGTCGGAGTTGACGCGCGCTAAAATGGCGAAGGTGGAGAGGCTGTCACACACGCATTTGGTTCTGTGTGAATGAACGGGCACCGCTCTGCAGCTCCGAGCAGACCAAGAGCCAAGAAGAGAGGAGCTGCACAGGAGAGAGGAGAGGGGGAGTTAGGAGAGAGGAGAGATCTGACGAATCTCTGATCTGAGCGTTTTCCTCATGGCTTTTTTAAAACAAACATACGTGATGATAAAATGGGGGTGAATCTACAAAAAGAAATGATAAGAAGAAATTAATTAGATTTTTTTTTTATTTTGTAATCCATTAACATAAAACGGATACTAAAGATTAATTTCGAAGCTAAAAATTATTTTTAATCAGCTTGGGATGCAAAAGTGCATCTAAAGATCCATGTGCATGTGATTAACTGGAATTTTAATAGTGACGGATCTTAACAAATGCCACAATTAGCATAATCCTTATCACTCTCTTTCCTCATTACATTTAAATCAGGCTCATGGTAAGCAAGGAACAAGGTGTCCCCTCAAGGAGAGTGTGGATTATAAATTATGGACTTTTTCCCCCTCATCTGAGAGCTCATAATATGCAACACATGCATTTGTTTTGGTGCATCCTCTATCTGATTGGCATCATACAGCCAGCAGGTTCAGGCTGTTATCCTAGAGCTGCATCTGAGTAAAGCTGCATAGTGCATATCTGTATAATTCCCATGGAAAGTTGCAGAGTTTTGCATATATTAGTAGGATGCAGTTCGGTGGTTCTGGGAATGGAGCTCTTCAGATGAAGAGTCCCCCCCTCCCCCAAACTCTGCTGTTAGCCAGTGCTTCATCCTGTCTCTATTGGTGCATTAATCACATTTGCTGTTTAAACTGAATCTAATTTGACTGAAGGCGTATAGGCCCCCCTCTGAAAGTTTACGAGGTAATTACATTTTCTTCCCTAATCTTGCTTACCTCAGCTCTGGCTGCTGTGTGACATGAGCTGGTTGTTGTGCATTTTTTTTTAATTATCTCTCATTGTTCTTGCATATATCTTTCAAAGCTCAAGAAGTCTACCCCTGTAAATAGTTTGAAATTGGATGATTTAAAGTGTCGGAAACTGTGAACACTGAAATGAGTTTGAAGCCGCCCTCTGTGGGTGACTGGGGCTTTGATTTCTTGACTCTGTCTGGCTGTCTGTAATTTGTGTCAGACAGGTGATTAAGTCTGAGACTGAAGGGTCAGCTTGCACGTGTACTGGTTTTTCTTTGTCTGCCTTGTCAAAAAGGACTGACATGAAAACGATGGAATGACCACTGCCTTTCCTCTTACAAGTTTGTGTAAATGGTGACAGATGTGAACCAGGCAGGCAGCACCATTTTAACCATCGCTCTCACAAGAAAAAAAATAGATAAATGTGGTGGTCAGATGCACATTAAAGGAAAAACAGTTAACACTTACGTTTCACTCTCGTCCCATGAGAGGCATGTTTCATTGATGGTGTCCTGCAAAGAAGAGGCAGATGGAGATGGTTAGTGTGAGGAATCTCTCTGTAGAAAAGGAAAGCATGTAGGCTGGGACACCTTACTACAAAACGTGTGAGATGCAACAGCTTGCTGGTAGCCACATGCCCACATTTTTTCACCCCCTTGCTTGGTGATGCATTAATGAAACCAAAAGCAGCCACTTATCAGCTGCAGACTCTAATTATCGCGCATGATTTCTCATCGTCGAGGGGCCGTTTGGTCGCTTATGAGATTTTCTCTGGGCTTCAGCGGCCGCAAGCCGACGCAAAAGTCAAAGTGTCGCAGCAAATGTCAGGGAAATGTCAGTCTCTCCGCATTGTGCTGCACAGACACCCACGGGGAGGCTGATATTTTTCCATTAGGTTGATCATTAGGGACTCACGTTGCGCAGGTGGGGGAACTCGACCTCGATGGGGGTCGACAGGAGAGTCGGGGTGGGGCTGACGATCACGGTCACCACCTTGGAGTTGAACAGGGTGGTGTTACTGTGGAGGAAGAGCACACTTCACTGTCAAAGCTTGATCTTAGACGTGTCAGACTGTGAATCAGACTGCAGGAAGACGGAGTGGTAATGATTAAACAGAGCAATGTTACCTCTGGAAGGGCATAATTGAAGAAAGGTTTCTGTACAAGACAATGCCGGTCACAAAAGCATCATTGGCATCTGGAAAAAAAAAATGAAAACAGTCTCGCTCAGTCTTCAAGTTAAACCCACTGCCGGTTTGTTGTTTGACAAAATGTTACATTTGTATGATCTTACCGGCGGATCTGAGGGACAGAGCGTCGCGGGAAACTGAGATCTTCTCCTCTGAGGTACTGACCCAGTCCGGCCTTCCTCTCCAGCCCTTCACAGGGAAGGTGAAGTTGGAGCTGGTGGTCGTTGGGCGCTTGTGGATGCTCAGCACTGAAAGGCACAAATGACAATATACAAAGGGGACTTTGTTAGCAGAACGCACTTGTAGGTTCTAGCAGCTGATGGACTTGAATAACTAATGCATTTGGGCGTTGATTGAACAACAAACAGAAGACAAATTAACTGGGCTCACCTAGATTCTCAGTGACTTCGTAAATGTCCTGAAAGCCGCTCATTTGCACTCCGATCATGTTCACAAACTCCTCGACAAGGCGGAGGAACCCCTTGATATTGGCACCCATCTAAAGTGAGAGAAGATGGAGACAAAAAGAAGAACATTAAAATATGGCAGCGTATAAATCTGGTTTATTTGCGCAGTCAAGGACAGCCAGTTTAACGATTATTTATGGATTCACAGGTTCCAGCCAGCACTTATTATTTCAGAGCGCACAGTGGCTGACAGAAAAAAGCAGGGAAAACGCACAACTCTTGCTGCTATGCAACCCCAGAACTTCCGTACGGCCATAAAAGGCCAGGCTGTTGATTCATACTCTATTTTTTTGGTCCTTTCTCTTTTTCTCTCAGTGAAAAGGGAGGGCCACCTGACTTGCGTGTCTCTGACGCAGAGAAGTAGCGATGTGGGCGCGAGCCGTGTGCTTCTGCATGTGATGTTCTGTCTGTGTTTCTATACAGAAGTAGCCGTCAGTATGTGGGATGGCACGGAGACGCACAGATTGCAGAGTGGGAGTAGTGATTTTCCCTGATTCAGAGAGGCGGTGGCCTCGGTAACTCGCCCTCCTGCTCTCAGATCAGTTTGTGCATGACAGTGTGTGTTTATTACAACTTTTTTTTTTTCGGAGGCTGGTCTTTCTTGGGAAACTTGCAGGAACATTACAAGCGTCACTGGAGCGCGGAGGTGGTTTGTCGACAGTTGGCCAAACGTGACAAAGTTCTGCTCGGGCTAATCTGAGTTTAGCAAACTGGATGAGTAAATGTCTGTACATCTCATCTAACACTTTTGCTTTGAAACTTCTGCTTAAATTAAAAGGTTTGGATGAATAAATATTTCCACTGCACGTGTAGTCTATGTACTGATTTTGTTGGTACTTATACAATCTCTTGTAAGTATTTTCTGAGATTTACTCTCCACTCTGCTCATCCTATTTAGAAAACTTCAATATAATAGACTTATTCCCTTTGTGCACTCTGACAGTCACACCTTGTTATCACATACCAGTTGTGCCTCTTCCCATTTGTCATGATGTTCCTCCTTCAGTAGGTTGCTGATGGTCTGGACGTAGTTCTGCAGATCATCAAATACAAAGGTAGAGGTGTGAGAAGACACCGAGCCCATCTTGTTTAGATGCAATTTGTTCCTTAAAAATGTTGAACTCCAAAATTTAGGGATGTCAGTTGGAGCTTACCTCAACATCGGCGTTGCTCAGCCTCAGCCTGGTTGCCTTGTACAACTCTGTGGTGTTCTTCAGGATCTCCATTATGGCCAAAAGGTCACCGCTGTACTTGGCTTTCTCATCAGAGGAAAATCTCACGCGGGAAATCACCTCGGCAACTCCATCAACGCTTTGCCCGATCTGCGCTTTGGAGGTGTAGTCCCTTGACTACAGAGACAGAGTTAAAAGGTTATTTCTAATGTTTTACTTCACATTAAATCCAATTAGCAGCACTTTATTGATGATTTTAGGGGGGCATACCAGCATCTGAATGTTCTCGTAGTTCTTAGAAACACACTGGGTGTAAGTGGGGTTCTCCCAAGAAGCAAAACCTCTTTCATCAAGGGTGCAGCGACGCAGAATAAGACCTGTTGATGAGATGGAGAACTCTTAGTTTAGTTTTAAACAGATATTTGAAACTCTAAAGTGTAAAGATAGCTTCCAGGCTGTCAAAGTACCTGAAGCATCAGCAGGGCAGGAAACAGCAGTGACATCTCCAGCGGGGGTTTTCTTCCAAACAATGTCTCCGGTGTTGTGCTCAGGACAGATCTCATGGGGCTCTAAAAAAAATCACAACCCAGTTGTTGCATGATGAGTTTCCTGTTTGCTTTTGGATTTGTGAAAAGATGGCATGAATCTGTTGTGCTGCAGACACTAACCAGGGCATCTCTTCTCATTGCAGCGCTTCTGCTCTCTGGTGTCACCGGGGCAAGGCTCTCCTCCAAAGAAAGGCCCCTCACAGACTCTCTGTCTCTGCTGGATGCCTCCACCACAGGTCTTGCTGCAGCTTCCCCATGAGCTCCATGGATGCCAGGTTCCATTAACTATAGACAAAAACACCATTAATTCTGACCCTGTTAAATGAAAAGCAAAACTTGGATCTGGGATGTACTTTATAACTCACCGGGGCAATCCTTCAGGAAGCAGTTTGCTGTCTCTTTCCAGCCTCCGTGGCACTCTGAGCCGCCATAAGATGGCCCGTTGCACTCCCTGGTTCTCTGCATGGTGCCGTTGGAGCAAGAGGCAGAGCAGGAACTCCAGGCGGACCACTCATTCCAGGATCCGTCCACTAGAGGGAAGCAGAGGAGCGTGCATAAAGAAGAGTTATGAGGATGGCAAGGACAAAACAGACCCACGGGCCACACCAGACATCTTGACAAACTCACTGATGCTATTAACATCTCTCATCATGACCCAGTTAAGCTGAGCTGAAGCAGAACAGAAAGTTGGATGGATCTCTGTTATGCGCCCTTCAACTATCAAGTTCAAACTCTAATTAGCAATTTGGAAGTTTAAACTGGATCATCATTTCAGACAATTTATGGATGCAATTACAGTTTTGAGTTTTTAGTTAAACTGAGTGACAGATTAATAAGAAAATAATAATATTCATTTAATGATAAATAAATTGGTCATTTATATTTGAACCTTGCTAGAAGCTCAGGACATATTAAAATACATGTAAAAACAACTGAATTGCATTTATTACTAAGCCAAAGTGGATATTGACATAACGTTTCTATTACAGCCCAATCTGCTGGTAATCACAAACTTAATTTCCTTTGAGTTTCAACTAAAATACACAATCATCTTGAAGTAATGACTTCCCCCCCTTTTGCCGGTTTCTTTTTTATTGTGTTAAACAGAGACACCTGGTGGTGAAGAGGTGCAACTGCAACAAATCCATACCCATTTTAAAAAGACACACCTACATAAAAACCACGTGTAAATGACGACAATTAGACGCGGGGAAAAAAATCAACTCGGCGCTGCAGTAACTTTAGAGGTAAAACTTTTCTGCACATGAGTAGGTGGCTCAATAGGAGAGCGACTTAAACTTGGTCAAGTGACCATGAATGAGCACAGAGTGAGTCACAGGCAGCTGTGAGGAGGCCACTGACTAACATCCACTGATGCTTTTATTCTGGTGAGTCAGATGAAATTGCAACCTGCCTTTGCCGTTGTGATGATGCAGACACAATTAGGTGACTTAATTAGGCTCTCATAAATGAATCACTCAGATGAAGGGTTAAGCATCACATCCTGAGCTTGTTATTGAGAACTTTTAACAGAACAATCCAGGCTCTGGAGAGAATATTTAGATTTTTTTTTTTAAGTAATACAGCCAGATATGCAGCTCACCTGGGCAGACAGCGATGTTGCAGAACTTGGTTTGTCTTGTGGGTCCGCGGCAAGGCTGTCCTCCATTCTGGGGCTGCTTGCAGGTGCGGGTACGGTCACGGTATCCGCGGCCGCATGTGGAGGAACACAGGCTCCAGGGGGTCCACTCATCCCAAGCACCATCCACTGCAAACATGTGATAAATATACTTAATTTATGATTTATTTCATCTTTGAAAACTTGAAAAGTCTCAGACTTCTGCTGACATCATTCAGCGTCTCTGCCGTGCTCATATAAGACTCAAAGACTCACCAGGGCAGACAACTGAGTTGTTGCATTGTCGGTTCTCGCGCAGAGGTCCGGTGCACTGGGTGGTGAAGGAAGAAGTGGCACAGAGACGGGAACGGCTCTGCCAGCCTTCCCCACAGGTGACTGAACATGGGCTCCAAGAGGCCCACTCATCTGTCTTTGCATCTGTTATGAGAACATTAAACACTCTAAAGGTTAGGGGACTTCATTGCTTCACTTTAGTCATCAATTTGTTGCAGGACCTTGTTGTTATCTCACCTGTTTGAGTTGCTACAGCTCCTGGGTTGGACTCATCAGCGCTGTCTCTTCTCAGACCGATGATGGCACGCAGACCTTGGCTTCTGTTCCTCTCTTTGCCTGCGAGAGTTAAATGAATTGCATAATTATGGATTGAAAGCCCAGCCACCTGCAGCAGTGTTTTTTGATTTAATGACAAAATTATATTTTACCAATGCAGGGCTGAGGGTTGCAGGCACGGCCTTCCTCCACTGTTCCCTCACACACTCCATCCTCGGGCTGGCAGGTTCGGCTGCGCACCTGGACTCCGCCGCCACACTCCTGGCTGCATACGGACCAGCGGGCCCAGCCTGCCCAGCTCTCTGCAGGAAGACATAAAAAAAGAACAAAAAACGAGAGGATACTTGTTGAGAAGAGTTGGAAACTACCAGAGCTGAGAAAAAATTACAGCACTTGGAAACATTATTACTCCCTTTGTGTAAAGCATGATTCAGTTTTCTAACTTTGGGTTTAAGAACAGGAAGTGAGTAATATTTTCTTTATGTGTAGAAAATGAGCAAGGACGTTTCTTTGTGAGCAGAATGGTACTATCTAGTGGATAGACGTTTTATTTGAAAATGTTTGCTTTTATCCACTTGGTGCAAAACTCTGTCAGAACGGTGTGTGTGTGTGTGTGAGAGTGAGTGCCTGTTGCTATGGATACAGCTAGTGCAGTTCTTCGATTTCTGCTGGCAGCCGACTGTGAGGTCTTTGTGTTCCTTTACAGCCTGACACACAAACAGTCTCTCTGTGCATGTCTTGGTGCAAAGCTGAGCAATGTGTGAGGTGCAGCAGGTGATGCTACTTAGCTCTAAAGATGGAACATCAAATATCCCTAACAGCCTTGATTTACTTCTCATTATTTTGTGGGGCTGTAGAGCAAGAACTCTGGCTCTGCAGGCATGGATCATTGCTCTCAGGAGCTGTTTAGACACACCGCCGAAGCAGTGGGAGATTGCAACCTGCAGAGCTGCTTAGTTTTGGAGAACTTGACTCCTTTACTAAGCTAATTTAACTGTTTTGATCATGAGACTTGTGTTTTCTGTGTTTTTCTTTTGCACATTTCAAAGTTTATAACCCGAACCATGCTTACTGATAATCTCAGCATCACGTCCATTGTCTTTGGGAACAGGAGTGCATTTTTCCACGTAGACGCCGCCCCGGTAGCAGCTTCCTGGCTTCCTCTTTGGGGCCTCCCAGCACTGGCAGGGGGTGTTCATGATGCCACAGGGATAATCATGGGTGCTGCTGTTCAGGCACTTCTCCAACCACTGGCACAGCATCTGGCAGGCGGGCATGCTTGGGTTCCTCTTCCCCACAACCAGAAACTCGGCCTTGAACTCGCTGACACCTTGCTCTTGCCCAACAACCTCCAGCGCGTTCCTTGGGGCCACCTTGCGGATCTGCAGGAATTGCTTGCTTGACTCCAGGTAGGTGACGGCAGTGGAAGCGTCGCAAAGCCTGACAACCTCGTCAAAGCTCTCCATACCCAGGTAGGTGCGAGAAGTCTCGATGAAGGAGTCGAACTGGAAGGTCTTGATCTGGCGGGGCACGCAGGAGTCGGTGGGCTTGGTGATTTTCATGTAGACGTTGTAGCGGCGTGGATCGGGGTTCTGCAGGGTCCAGGAGCAAGGAGCGGAAGGCAGAGTGGTCGTAGAGGAGAACACGCCAAAGAAGCGACTCTGCTCCAAGGTGGCGCAGGTTGCAGAGGCCGGTCCAGAGGGAGTGCAGGAGGTCAAACCGAAGAAGAGCACGATTAGGGCCACGCAAGGGCCGGTGAGAGCTGACCACGCCATTGGGTCAGCTTTGGTTTGGTGTTGGGTGAAATCTGGGTTTGACTTTGTTGTTTCTTTGATTTCTTTGTTGCAAGTTACTGCACTTGATTCAGATCTCTTGATTATCTTCGCAAACCCTTCTGAAGATTAGCTTTGCTTTAATGCATCAGACTATTTGTTATCTCAGAGAGGGATCTGTTGGAAAAAAAAAAAAAAAACACAAAACATGAAAAAGTCTGTTAGACTGCTTTCACGTTGACAGTTACTGGTATGAACTGCAGAATACAATGCATTTTAATTGGAGCCATTGTTAAGCTAATATTTATGCAGCAGAGATTGTTGTCTGATCTGTATCACAGTGTTTCAGGCTATGCTGAATGATCTGAAATGCCTGGTTCTCTGGAAAATAATTGCTGTGGCGGAGCAATTACAGTCCTTCACAGCGAGGTGGTATCTCCGAGCTCTTGCTCTTTCCTCCCACACACCTAACTGTGTGCGTCAGTCTGACGTCCATGCAAGCTTCGCCACTGGCAACTTATTTGTGCAATTCACTCCTCTTATTAAGCAGTAAACAGGCAGAAAAAAAAGAAATAAAAAAAATCATCTGCAGCCATGGTGAGGGGTATTTACATACCCTGCACTGGCATTTCAGAAATTGCATGGGGAATATTTCCAGCATTGCTTAGGGGGGAATGAAGCAAAATGATCTTAATTACTATGACTTTTGCACGTTATGTTGAATGCATTCAAAGAAAATATGTTTTATGCATGCATTTTCTACCACTCTGCAGAAGGTTGTTTTGCATATGAGTAATTCATCGTTTTTTTTGTTTTTTTTGTTTTTTTTTGTTTGTTATCTTGTAAATGTGCTTCTTCTAGACATACGGGTCTGCAGAGTCGCCGTCTAAATCCCAGAATTACTCAAGCAAAGCAGGATAAAGGAGACGCTCGCTGGCGCTCAGAAGAGAGTAAAGCTGTTGCTGAGCAACAAGTTTTACTTTCAGACAGAGCTAGTTTTCTGCTTCATCATGTTTTCCATCTTAGTCTTTGTTATACCACTCGCTTCACAGTTTATGGCAGTTTATGCAGTTTATGAAACAGGAAATGGATTATTAGAGACAAATTAATTGCTATTTCAGAGGCTGCTGCAGAAACCTGTATTTAAATGTGGGTTCATCGTAAAGACAAAACCGGCGGCAGCACGCCGAACGCATATGGAGCGACTGTGAGAAGCACCTGCACTTCTCAAGTTAAGTACTCATAATTACAGCCATCTCATCTCTCCCGCCTCCCTGCCTCGCTCTCGCCCCACCCCTCCTCTCAGCTCGTCTCATTTCTATGAGCAATGCAGTAGAGACCTCTGCCTTGTGTCAGTGGCTGTCTTTCTCTCCTCTACCCCCTCCCAGCCCTCTTGGCAACCGGAAGCTCCATGAATGGGCATCTGATGAGAAAGTCTTTGAAAAGAAAAGTCCAGCTGTGGCGGGAGAACTCTCCCTCCCCTCTCCGACTGCTCCCACCCTCCCCACTCCTATCTACCCCGTCCTCTCGCTTGTCCATTTGCTGTCGTCAATGACACATTTTGTGCATAGCAGGCTGACTAAAGAGCGGGCAGTTTGTTGTTATGGAGACAGAGCTTATTTTCTGCAGAATAGTGTGAAAATCCCCACATTTGCCATCTGTGACATGCTTTCTGTCCTTGCTGACGTAGTGCACACTTTCTAGAAGCTACAGATGAAGGAATGAAGAAGTAAAACAGAAAATCGTTGTAAAAGAATGCAGAAAGTGCTTGGATGTGTCATGACTTGAAGTGACAGGTGAAATCTTACAGACTGAGTTTTGTGAGTCAAACCATGTACTATAAATGCACCCTCAAAGTCAGCATGGGTTGTTCTGTTAGTAAAATCCTGCCTGAATGTTGTACAAGGTGTCATGCTTTCTTTACTGACTGTTCATTTGATAAAATATCAGGTCAGTGCAGCAGAGAAAGACTGAGAATGTCTGGATCAAGGATTCGTGTTGCTCTTGAAAAAGATTTAACAGAAGCTGTTTTTGCACTTAGTAATGTATTTTTACTTTGAAGAAAAAGCTCGTATTTCTTTTTTTGTTGCTGCTGCAGCTGTTGCAAAAGAAATCTGCAGATGTGCATGAACGTAAACTCTAAGGCTCTGCAGGAAACAAAACATTTTTCAGCAAAGGCAAAACAATTTGTTGCATACTGCAGAAAATACCTGAATGTGTAGGTTTAATGAGATTTTTGCATCAAAGCTGATTTGTTGCATAGCTATGAAATGAAGTGAATAAGTTATGCAAATCCAATCCAGGTGACTGAGAGAGATCCCTCTTTATACTTAGACATAGCATCAATATTGTTCTATTGTAGCTAATCAGTGTCAGTCTTCTGCAACAACACTTAAATATTTTTTGTAATAATTAAAAAACCAGAAAGTTCAATGAAGCAGCCTGTTGCCTCAGTACAACTTTCTCCTGCCTCATCTGTCTACACAATAGCAAGCACAGCACTACTTTAACAATAACATTGTGTGAGATCAAGTGCAAAACAATTTAAAACTGCATTAAAGTAAGAAGCCGTTGTCAGGTTGATGCATACAGGAGCCGAAACATTCAAAGTCAGTGGAGCAGATCTCAATGCGAGGCAGTTCAAAGTTTCAGAGTTTCAGCACCGCGGACAGCGACGCAACAACTTTTAAAATCAGAGGAAGCATTCGCATTCGCATCACTCATCCTCACTTCAGAACTTCACCATGAAGACAAAAACACTTTCAGACGATCCATCAAATACTTTCCACTTTCTCCTTACCTCGAAAATTCTTCTTTGAAGTCTTTGTCAGCGGCTCTCTAACCGGTCCGGTCCAGTCGTCTGTCGGTTCGGATCTGGTAGCAGCTGCTGAGTTTCGTCTCTCGAAAAAGAAAAGTAAAAAGTCAGACTAGACCTCAAAGTCTTGAGATCTGCGCTTCTGGCCAAAAACTTTCGCAGCTCTGTGGAGACCGCCGAAAGGATGCGCCAGGTCCAAACACTCGAACCCCAGAGCGGGGATCGATCCCAAGTTTCAGTGCAGTCCACTCTCACAAGCAAAGAAAAATTGAATGCGACTCTAACCAAACTCCAAAGAGTTTACTACCAACTTCGTTTAGCTGCTATAGCCTATCCAAGAAGAAGGAAGCGGCGTATAGCGAAGGGACAAATTGGTTGTTGTCGGAGCTCCAGCAGAAAGTCCGTTCTCGTTTGTCTTTGTTTCTCTCTAAGCTCCAGAATAAAGAAAAATTGTTGGTACTTCTACTCCCGGCTTCGGAGTCTTCTTGCTTGTGGTCTTTGCACTGCAAGTGGGTCCAGTCTCAGTGTAGCTTGTGGCCTCCACTCGGAGCTATATATCCCACCCCGCCCCTCCCATGGCTTGAAGTTGGGAGTCAGTGCGTGGATGGAGTAGCGAAGTGAATGAGACAGCATCATCGGGAGAGGGAAAGGGAGGGCGGGAGGAGAGTGTGTGGCGAGTGTGCGGAGGAGACGCGGCTGTGTGTGCGAGCGCGTGCGCCGGCGTGCGCGTGGAAGTGTGAGAGCGGCGGTGTGTCAGCGCACGGAGGAGGGAGGGAGCAGAACCGAGCGAGGAGGGGAGGGATCTATGCAGGGAGACAAACGATAATGAAGAGCAAACTACGCAGATATGAACGCACAGCCAAAGGTACCGGAAAGAGGATCAACGGAATAGGTGTGCAGCAGGGAGACGCAATGAAGAGAAATCAATTGTTTTCCTCAGATGAATGGCAATGCGACACTTCTGAATGTCGTCGCAAACATTTGCACAGAGACGTGCGATGTGTTTATTTGTCCGGCGTCCAAAAAACATTGCATTTATGACTTTGTGTGTGCGACCATCCAGGGTGTTAAAAGTACGACTCCCTCTTTAGAAAGTAGAAAATTACATTGCGTGTTTTAGAGATGCTGCAGAACATGCAGAGAGGAGAGTCAAAAGTTTTACAGTGAAATAATAAATAAAAAAATATTAAAATAATTAAATAAGAATATATGCAATAAATATTTATGCATGTGACAATTTAAATAAAATAGGAAATTATTAAATAAATACAGAATGGTAATTATTTAAATGTATAAAAATATAATGCTGCACATTTATTTAATCTGTTAAACTTACCTAATCAAAGTCATACAGACAAGACGATTGGTCTGCACTTAAACTGCTGTGCAGATCAATCAATCAAGCAAAAGTTAGTCTACATCTGATAAACTATTGTGACATTTTAACTTGTTTGAAAATGCACAGAAAAAATAAAATAAACACCAAAAATATTAGATATTTTGGTGAATACAAGTTTAAATGATTCATTTATTTAACTTAATTATTTGTTCTGTATTTAATAAGTTCCAGGCACATTTCTGTAATCATATCTTATTCAACCTATAACATATATACACACGATTAATTAAGTATTTATTGTAATATTGGCACTTTTGGGTCTCGATACCCTGCAGGGAGTGCTATGATGCAAACCTGTCTGTCCCTCACTCACTTGTTTCTCCCTGAAACCCACACTCACATACACAACGAGGCTTGTGCACACAGGAACAGGCGCTCCTCCCTCCATGCCTTTCTGGTTGGTTTCTCTCCCTCTCCGGGGTTTTGTGGGCGGATCTGGGTAGTTCTCGAAGTGTGAAAGGGATAACCTGACGTGGGTGTCTGACTGTTTGTGTAATGCTGGCTCAATTCCTCTAGCTCAAGATCCACGTGTGGAAAAAAAAGAAAAGAAGAAAAAAAATCTAATTAGAATGAAAAATAACAATCCAAGCCAAGCAGCATGCATGAGTCAGGGAGTGTAGAACATGGACGTTAATAAAGCAATGATCATCAGCCTTGTTCTTTTGTCAACACTGTTTCTCGGTTTACTCAAGCGATGTGGGAGAGAGGAGTCACTCCTATGATCACAAACTTCACAAAACTACACATAAGAATTTGCAATTTCCTATTCCACAATTTGGCACAAAGAGGATTATGTTTGATACGGGAACTTGTCAATTAGACTCGCAGGTCAGCATGATAAGTTCTGAACATCTGATCTGACTAAATTACCAAATATTGTTGCGCTAAATACACACTCCGCTACCTTCAATGCCAATAAATTAACAATGTTATACAAATCAGAGAGTTTGGTTCTCCCCCCTTGGTGGCGCCACTGCTTATTTAGAAAATTGGGCCGCCATTATTAAAACATTTAAATTGAATAATTAACATCCGCTAAAAATTTGCATTGTTTTTTTTTTTTAGAGTTTTAAACCTTCTTATCACGTGTCAATGCCTGTTCTCCCCTCGCATCTTTACATTTTCACAAGAAAAAGTTATTTTGCGTCACTTTTCCTTAAAGTTATTTCCTTTTTGCACACACATTGTGTTCTTTCATCGCCAGGAAAGACAAACAGCTCCGCTGAGTTAAACGTAATAACCTCTCAGACCGTAATGGGAGAAACCTGCAGGAAAGTAATGAAAAAGAAGAAAAATGTGTTTGTCGCTCGGACTGAAGTCAGCAAGGGGGCTTATGACGTTGGACACATGAGTAAAAGACAACAGCATTTGTATTTTTCCACACATGCGCAAAAGTGAAAATGTGTCACCACACGAAACAATGTCCTCCCCATAAGGCCCAATAATAAATATTACGCATGTGATCCTACACACTTCTGCTCACTGATAAACTCTACACGTATTATTATTATTATTATTGAAACGGAAGTTGTTGCTAAACAAATTGCCCCAGTATTTCAAAAGTTATTGCAAAAATAGCTTCTTTAAGTGATCAACAAGGGATTAATTTAGATTTTCAAAAAAAGAGCACATGTACTCTTCAAAATAAAACCTCCAGGATGTCACAGAGTATTTTATAACAAATAAACATTGTACATTATAAATTGATATCGAGTGATTAAAAAAAGGCTGTCAGCCACTCAAAGGTCATGGAAACTTGCTGAAATAATAAGTTTACATTTTTGAGGGTTTAATTATTGTGAAGTAGGTTTCGGATTCCAAGAAAAAGCCTTTTGACACCAGCTTTAAATACAAATGTCCAAAATGTTCTGTCTGAAATAATGTTAATTGGCTCAGCGTACAGGAATATTGCAAATAACCCTTTAAATTGCTGCATGTTTCTCTTTTTTATATTTTTAGAAGAATCAAAAGGTTTCTAAGAGCATCTGGGGATTCGAGGAGAGATGTTTGTCCTATATGACCAAATTTTCAGTAGGTTTTTGTAGCCACACAGGAACCAGGAGGAATAATGACCTATAATGATGGATTGTTAACCTAAAGTAATAGAGAGCAAACAGTGGTAGGCCTTTTGGAAAAACACTGCACAGTCGCAGGGTAGCCACCAAAGCACACTGAGGAAGTGCTTGTTTACTGTTTGCTGCTGGACCGACCTTACATAAGTTTGTTCAACCTCTAGCTGCTGACCCAGAACTGCTAATCAGCCACGCATAGGCACAGGTCGGTAAGGTTGTATTTGCTAATGTGGGAGCAATTAATACATGAACACTCTGATGTTCATCTGAGCAAGGCCGAATTTGTTGCAGATCTGGACGAGGGCTCTGTGAGGCCGCGCAGTTTGTGTCTGTGCTCGTTTGTGTCTGTGCTCGTTTGTGTCTGTGCTCGTTTGCAAGGGAGGCGTGGGCCGCTGTGGGCACAGTTACATAAACAAATGCCCATATAAGACAAAGAGAGGAATGAAAAAAAAAACTAAAGTTTGAGGAATTACCACTGGACCTGCAGGACCTCGTGCCTCCACACTTTTTTTTTTTTTTTCCAGGACAGCCCTCTTGAAATAGAGGTAGTTTTTTAGGTTGTGTGAACCGCTCTCAGGGGCCAGAAAATCCCCACGTATACGGCCTACTCACAGGATGGAGTTTTCTGCATAAAGTGGGTGTGCTTTCTCTGTACTCCTGCTTTTGATGTTCTGAAAGCTGCAACATGTATAACTCATGACAACCTGTTATTACGGAGGATTAAAAGCCTTTAGCACTTGTTCCCTTATGCTTGCTCTGTTAAATCAAGCCCTACGAAGGTTAAAGTGATGTAACTTTGAGCTCAGCGTGTTTCTTCCTCTCTCGCACTTCAGATCGTAGTTATGTTGTTATCTGAACTCTAGATGGAGCTGTTCTTAGATGAGGCTGCCTCAGGCTGTGCTGGTGCAACACTCAATCAAAAGCCATGTTGGAAGAGAAAAATATTTCTTGATTAAAAAGGCAGAAAAACTCCTTAAGAAAGAAATATTATGTGATCCCCTTGTTATTGGGAAATGAGGGTGAATTTCCCTTCACTGTTATGCACCGTTTTTGTGTTTGCTTTTAGTGAACAGGGGCTGTAATTTGCATAAATGAAGAGGGCTGCTGATTTTTTTGCTTGATTTCGATCCGAACAACTCTCACTCTGTGTGCATGTTGATCTTGTTAGTTTTGCTGCAGTTTGTGCAGGAGCTCAAGGCTTTGTGTTCAGTTCTACAGTCATGCAATGTTTTACATCTTCAATCACATCTCCATTCAGTCTATAGAAAAATGATCCCTAGAATTAATTTCTGCAGGTGACTAAATACTGAATTGGAAGAATTAAAAGGTTTTAAAATGCTGTTCACATTGTGCTTCGTTTCAGTATGACTGACAAAAACAAACAAAAATGAGAGAAGAAGAGACATTTTTTTTAAATAAACGTTGCCCTGATCTTAGATGCAATCTTCTGCTACTGAGTATTTTAATTTTTCTACAATCAGAAGCAGAAGTAGGACATGCACAGGGACAAGGCAAGAAAAGAAAAAAGAAAAAAATACGGACCTTCCCCAAAGCCAATTACAAAGTCCCGTGCCTGCAAATCATTTCTCACAAAAGAAGCAATATGTCACTCAGTTGAAAAGGGTCTGAGTCTTCCTAACTGCACAGTGCAGATAAAGTGCAGCAGTTTCATCCTTTTTCTAATATGCCCAAAAGAGAAAGACCTGCAGGAGGAAAGGTGTTGAACAAAATAGGACTTGTTGTGGCGTTTTCAGATAAAAGAGCAACAAACTATAGTGCAGCTTTGCAGGCAACAAGTAGTTCCTGAAATCACCAAAATGATGATGTTTCTTAGAGGGATCTCAGGAAACTTTGCACTTGTAGAAACTGATAATTTCACACATTCTTCTTTGCGAAATTGCTCAGCTTGTGTAGATTGGATGGAAAGCATCTGTGAACATCCATTTTGAGCTCATGTTCCAAATTCTCAATTAGATTTAGCCCTAGAATTTGACTGGGCCGTTCTAATACACCACTATACTTTGACATAAACAAAGGGTGCCACACTTGAATGAAATGACTGAACAG